TGTTAGTATCAGCGTCTGAATGACCTGTTGTTGTGAAATATTGAAAGATTATATTTTAATGAAAAACGTAAAAAGATATGACTGTATTTGCTTTTAATGAAGTAAATTAGTAAAACTGAAGTACATTTTTCACGGTGTCCCATTGCAGCACGGTACCAAATGACCTACAGACCAGCACCGGTCCACGGACCAGGGGTTGGGCACCCCTGAGTTAAATGATCAGGCTTGTAATGACTGTACAACAAGGAAAGGTGAATGTGTTAAAGCGCCCATCATGGGGTTTTAGGTGAACAGCATACTGCAGGCTGATAAAGAGATGTGGTTCTCACATTTAGTTTAGTTTAGTTTCCAAATGTGAATTAGAATAGAATCACCCTTCGTGGCACCTTATCATTTGTTAATAGTATCACCGGTTGTGCTGCCGAAGCAGAAGGTACAGAGGTTAAACTGAGTTTGAGTGACAGGTTTACTCACAGCTCCGTGCAGTGGCAGGTGCCGGGGCAGTTAAGTGGAGCGAGGACCTTGTTATCCATACAAATAGAAACACTTGACTGCTTCCTCTGCAAGTGGTCGTCTCACTGCTCAGCACAGTGTTTTTGAATCTGAAGAATTAGGGGAATAAAAAAAACCATCTACACCTGAACGCCACATCCTGGTTAGACTCTCGCGGAATCTTCTTTTGGAGAGCCTGTGTGGGATGATGTTGAAATGCTTGACGTGTCTCTCTCTTCCTTTTCACCTCTGTGGTCCTCGTGTTGACCAATGCATGCAAAAGCTCTGTGTAAACACCCCCCGCCCGCCTCTTTGGGGACTTCATCTTTGTGATGTCATCAAAGTGGCTGTTTGGGTTTGACCTTTTTAACAGCAGAGAAATGTGCCGCACAGCATGGTGGCATGAGGAGTGGTTAATGCTCCTGCACTCAAGAACCGGTTCAATAGCTGGTGGGAACTGATGGTCTTTGCGTGTTCGTGGGTTCTCCTTGGGGTTTCTCTGAGCGCCATGGTTTAGTCCCACAGTACAAACACATGCAGGATCACTACATCATCAGAGAGACGGAGTGTGTGTGTGTGTGTGTGTGTGTGTGTGAGAGAGAGTGCATTCTACGTGGGGCCCTGTGATCTACAGCTGAGCTGTCCGGGTGTGCCCACCCCCCGCCCGCCTACCATGAAAACAATTAAACCAGGGGTGTCAAACATATGGCCTGCGGGCCAAAATCGGCCCACTACGAGATTCAATCCGGCCCACTTAATGAATTTTGAAAGTAAAAAAAGATCATAAACACTTAATGTTTGTGATGTTTTGTCAAATTATAGTTCATTGAATATTACTGTTTTCTATTGTATGGAGTTATTGTTATTTATAGGTCATTATGTTATAGTTGTACAGGTCCGGCCCACTTGACATCTAGTCAGGCGGTATGTGGCCCCTGAACCAGAATGAGTTTGACACCCCGGAATTAAGCTGTTAGAGATGAATGCATTTCCATAGTAATATCAGATAACATTTTCTAAATATTCCTGGCCCTTTAGCAACTTCTCCAAAGTTAGCCTTGGAGTGAGTGACCACAGAAATATAGATATTTTGATTTTCTTTTTTTTAATATCCAGGATATTAAGTGATGTTAGGTTCTGTTTTTTATTATTATTTTTTTGTCATTTAAGGTCTCCTTATGTGTGTTGAATTGTCTAAGATTCATTTTTCACGTCCCTGATATAGATTTTTTTTTTCCACCAAATTTACCAGGATGTGAAAATGGTTGTTTATGTGTTTGTCTCATGGGGGGAGTGTGGGTCAGCAGCATGTGTTTGTGTGTTTGTGAGTAAATGTCTGATTGGCAAAACTGTGGTGTAATGCACCTTAAGTGAACATAAAGACTACTACAGTGCTATATAAATATAGACCATTGATGGACAAGGTAAACAAAGCCATTTGAATGCATTTCCTGTAGCACTTCAATACAAACAGAACACACACACAGAGGGAATGCAGTCTTACTCTCCGCTTGTTATATTACTGTAGTACTTAGCTCTACTGTCTAGTCTCATTTCCTCTATATATTTTTAATGATTTTTTAATAACTTGGGGGAAACTACAGTAAATAAATGGTATTTTTTAAAGATTAAAATTTCCACTTTTTTGAATGTGAAAATGCATGTCATTAGCCCCGCCCTCCCATCATTCCAGACACTTTTACACAGTGAAGGTCAGAGTGCAGGATCCGCACAAACAAATATCACGTCAGGACACCAGTCCTCTGAACAGTCGGCACTTTGTTGACCACCCCGCAGCTCAAATTAAGAGGCGGCTAACTCTTTAGATGTTAAGTGAAGTGTGAGAGGCAGGAGGGTAAAAATCCCACAGTAAAAGCTGTGTGAGGGTAATTTGTCACGGCTAAGGCCTCCGCTGTTGTGCACGAGGAGGAGCAGCGGGGAGAAAATGGCTGAAAGGATTAAAAGGGCGAAACATCAGGAACACGCGGGCAATAAGACAAGTGTCGGGTGGCGACAGTAAAAAGGCGGACGCTGCCCGACGTCCCTGCGTCCCCTCCAACGGCTACCCTCCCATCTCCAACCCCTTCAGTGCAGATGAGCATATGTCGGCTGACAGCATGACAGCGCCCATGAAGGAGAAGGAGGGACGGAGGGAGAGGGAGGGGAGACCAGGAGTTACCCTGACATCCCAGAGTCTGACAGCTGATGGAGGCAGATTAGGTTAATGAGCACAACTGTCACTGACATCCAACTCCACAGCCAACACCATCCATCCCACCGCTGACTTCTACCTGCGAGTGTCTCCAGATGTCATGCGAGGTGTTCTCCCCAATATTTCACCTTTCTCACCTGCACGCAGCCATGACGACGTCCCTCTGTCCTTTTGGTACATCGTTAATATTCTGCAGTATTTGTTTTTCTTCACACAAAGAGATACAATTATACACACAATCCTTCTTTAGTTCTTTAGTCTTGGGACCTGATGTAGAATGTCTTAAATTTCCAAAATAAAGTACACGTTTTAGCAAGAAATATTTTTACAGGAGTTTTGGGGTATTTGCACTGTAGTTATGTTTTTGAAATCTAATTGTTATTTTAACTTAAATTTTTACCATCTATCCACCTACTGCTTATTTCTTTGCAGGATTGTGGAGAGGCTGAAGAGGGGAGGGGTGGACTGTAGCCAATCCCTGCTGTCAACAAGTGAGGTGGGGGTACAGCCAGGACAGTTCACCAAATGCTGTAAGAAAATTGTTTATTAATCAGATTAGCTGGTGTTTATATTATCATTATCTCTGAAAACATTGTCTGCTTAATGCTGGTGTTTATATTATCATTATCTCTGGAAACATTGTCTGCTTAATATGATTTTTATTTATTTTTTGCATTGTCTTACATTGTGTTTAATCTTCATCTTTTTTACAAGCTGTAATGGCATCCTTTTCTTATTCTTGTACAACAGTGATCATTATAGTTTTAAAATATCTAGGATGTTAAGTGAGTATGAAGTTCTTTTTTTTTGTCATTTAAAGTCTCCCTATGTCTATATACAAACGCAGTAATTACAAAACTCACACATTCAGTGAACTGTCAATTCATTTTTCACATCTCTGTCATAGAGAACATTTAAAAAAAATGTTTCACCAAAATTACCAGGATGTGAAAATGATTGTTTATGTGTTTGTGTTTGTGTGAGTTAATCTCTGATTGGCAAAACTGTAGTGTAATGCACTTTAAGTGAACATAAAGACTACTACAGTGCTATATAAATATAGACCATTGATGGACAAGGTAAACAAAGCCATTTGAATGCATTTCCTGTAGCACTTCAATACAAACAGAACACACACAGACAGAGGAAATGTAACCGTACTCTATAACGCTTGTTATATTACTGTAGTACTTAGCTCTACTGTCTATTCAGTTATTTTTAGCCCTTTTTTTTGTTGGTGTGTTGTTTGTGTTGCTAAATTGTTGTCTGACAAACATCTGTTTACAAGCCCAGCTTTTATCTTCCCACTCTGGTTACTTATGATGCATAAAAAAAAAATTCTCAACTCAGATTTATTACATTGCAGATTTAAAGCTCCTTTTAAAGTACTAAAATACACCCCTCGCCCGCCTCCACCAAGGAAATACAAACAAATGTTTGGACACACAGGAGGTGAGGATGTTGGAGCCTGGTGACTTTGTACTGATGCAGTGTTCATGCCTTTACTCTGACCCGTCAATAGTCAAGGTCTAACACCCGCACCATGATGCTGAGCGGCAGCAGCCATGTCCAGGACAGGTCTGTGCAGGCCTTCTGTCTGTTACAGTACACAGCAGAACCCCATTACCATAATGTGTGTAAGCCTCGTGACTCAGGTGGCCTCGCTCGGAGCATTCACCTCCTGTGGGCTTAACTTCAGGTGTTAGCACACTTAACCCGTGCAGTGACTGCATACGGTATCAGCACCAAAAGTAAGAATTTAACCAGTGGATAAAAAGGTTTGTTTTGTTTCTTTTCTTGTGTGTGTTTGCACATTGTACCAGGCAGGTCTGAATAAGAGACAAAAAGCTGACATTTTACTCACTGACAGATAAATGGTTGGAAGAACAGAAAAGATTTTGTGTGTGTGGAGAGAGAGAGAGGGAGAGAGGGAGGGAGAGAGAGCACAGACGTCCACCCTGGGACAGTGTGTCATCGATTGAGCTGCAGGAAGAGGCCTATTATCTCCAGCCATGGTTCAAGCGGGGGAGTCAAGTGTGTCATATGTGTTGGCTCTAATTGGCAACCCACCCTGGTGGAGGCTGAGTGGGGTGAAAGCAGAGCTGTAGAAACACACGCACACACACACACACTTGTGTGTGTGTCTCTTCAGTGTTGCCTCAGGTGATGTTACATTGTGTTGATTTTCTACCTCCCTACGAAAGAATAACAGCTTTGTAAATGTAGCAAATGACACAGTGAGTTCAAAGCAGAGCTTATTATTTCTGAGGGTGTGTGCTTTCACATGTGCTACAGTGGTTGTGTGGCTCGTTGCAATTCTGTTATTTTAATTAGCAGTCTAACACTTTTAGTGTCAGTTGCTCTGTGTTGTGTTGTGTTCTTCTAATGGCAGATATCTCCCCCCCCCTCCCCCTCCCCTCTTCAGGGTCAGTTTCTTATTTCTTAGCAACTAGCTCCGCTTTAGTGACTGTGATGTCTTTAATCTCCGCACTACAACGTTTACACGGTCTAACACCGCCATCTGCAGCCATAAACGGCAAGTGTGATGTTTGTTTTAAATTACTTCTTTCATAACTCTGTAGTCGTCCTGTCGTTGAATTCTGGAGTCTTCTCTATTCTGTTTAAAAAAAAGTCAAAGTAAGGACTAGATATTTTCTTAAGAGGCTGTAATGGATTTTTTTTGTTGTTGTTGTTAATAGGTTTTGTCAGTTTTAATTTATCGCAAAGTCAGCTTTTCTTTATATGTTTATATATGTATAACGTTTGAGCAAACATTTCCGGGAGATTTCCGTCGCTAAAATTCGCCTTTTGTTTTGGTCTCTAATACACGCCTGTGTATTAACTGTGTATTTGTTTGAATTATACGGTTTTTTTCTGTTTTATTTAACAGAATATGGTCAAAATTTAAAACGTGTTTCTGTTGTACATTGTTGTAGGTGAAGTTGTGGTTGGACCAGCAGGGGGTGCTGACTCATTGCTCATTTTTCCGCTTTGCCTTTACAAACATTCGACTGTGGTATTTAGACAAATATTTTATACTGTGGTATTTATACTGTGTTTATTTATATAAACATACCACATTCGACTGTGGTATTTATATCTCGTGGAATGGGTCGGTTAGTTAAAGAAGAAAAACGTTGTTGCCGTTGCGTGAAAGCCGTTGAAGGACGCTGATACTAAAGGCAAACGCGCTCTCTCTCTCTCTCTCCCTCTCCCCTTCTCCCTCCCTCTCTCTCCTTCCCTTCCTCCCTCTACTCTTTCTCTCCCTCCTTGTTTTGTGTGTTAAAATGTGGAAGAGAAACTTCCGGGCGACTCCTGCCAAGTGCCTTTGCCTAAAGTGACAGAGACAGGTGTTGTAAAATTATCCTATGTACAAGAACCTCTCTGTCTGTCTGTGACACACACACACACACACACACACACACCATGCCAAGCCGCCCAGTCATACTCACTTTTCTTCTTGACTGTGAAATCAACAGTATTACTGTCTGATTTTTTATTTTAAATGTTCATTGATCCCCTCTGTATTGGTTTTGAATGGGTTTTCCAACTCATCGAGAATCATGAAAGAGAGGCCAACGTGCTCTTGTTTTGTTTATTTTTCTAAGCTCCATATCGACCTCTGACCTCTGAGCAGTCTTGCTGAGAGAGCCTCCGTGAGTGTCTGGACTCCTGGTCATCATGCTAACGTCAAACACATCTTTCCTGTTAGTTTTCTCTCCCTGAAGATCGGTAAACCAGCCAAAAACCAACCAGTCCTCAACACATTTTACTGACTGAAGTGAACAAACATCGTCAACCTCACTCACACACACAGACCCTGCGGACTCTCGCTCTATCACTGTCGTTTCGAAACCATCGCCGTTCGGACGTGACTGACAGCATCGTAGATCTTCATCTTCTGCTTTGGCACAGAGTCCGAAATAGTAGGAGATCAAAGCGCTTTGAATAGCATGTGTTATACTGCACACTGAGATCTCACGTCTGACCTCATGGCGCACAACGCTGATCCAGACTAGATTGGGGGGGGGTAGTCCCTTAAGACCACTTCAGACCCCATAACACCCTGACAGATGTCCTGTTGTCAAGTGAAATCTGAAAAACAACTTTTTTTAACAACTTGGACAGACCTGAGGTGATGCTGTTGTTGACGTTTAGATTCAAAGATAATATTTAAAGGTTAGCATGTTAGCGTGTTATAGAGCTAAATGAGACACAGACTGGTTTACAGGTTGAATCCCTGAATACAGAACCCACTTTATGTATTGGAACAATAGTGTTTCAGTTTTATATTATAACCCAATGATTCCGTGTTCAGATTTATATCAACAATTGCTTTGTTCGACTTTGTTGTTTTGATATTTCGATTGTCTTTTTTCTGTGACTTGAAAAAAAAAATCCCAATGGGTTAGAGTTAACTAAGTTACTCAGTTAGCTTCCAACTGGTGCAGACACTCCTGTCTGCACCACAAACAGCTGCCCTGCCTCTCTCCTCATCTTTATCTCTCTCTCTCCCTCTCTCTCTCTCTCTGTTACTTTGGGTTTGTGAGTGACAGCACATGTGCTGGAGAGAACCAGGGACGAGTGGTGGTGAAATTTAAACCCTCTTTTACCCCCTGCACTAGGAGACAGACCCCAACTACGGACAGGGAGGAGCCGTGAGAGACGGAACACTCGCAGAGGGAAGTAACAGGGAGACGGAAAGAAGAAAGAGCCAGAGCAAGAAGCTGAGTGTGAGAGGGAAGAAGAGAGAGAGGTCCAAGGATCAGGGTTGGAGAGTTTGGCCTTTTTTGCCCTGTGGAGCAGCTGAGAAGTCCAGGTCTTAGTGGAGGAGCTTCAGATCTCAATCATCAGTGGTCTGTTCTTGCTGGGCTTCTGACTGCTACGGTTCTGAGGATGGCAGCAAAGTGGTTGCTGGGATGTGGACTGGTTACGCTGCTGTGTCAGGTAAGAAAAGTCTAAACAATAATACGACAAAGTACATGTTAACTCTGATGGTGTTAGGGTTAGCCATTGACTCAAAGTATGAAGAAATTGTTAAAAAAATAAAATAATTTTAGAACATTTTAATGACACATGTTCTGCATCAACACTGCCCCCTGTCTGTATTTTCTTTTTTCGTTCTGCAAATGAATAGGAAACTTGTGTTGATTCATTTACCAGTGGAAAGTAGACAACAGTAGGTGGCAGTAATGGAGGTTAAGAGGTATTAAATACTCTAAGAACCTAGAGGGTACAAAGTTAGCTTAAAGAAGGACAACTATTGTTTTGATATTGATTTTAAAATAATATTTATTTTCTCCAAAAACAAAACAATACAATGAGCTGTGGATTATGTTTATTTGTTAAATTGGTTTGACCAAGGATGTAAATGGTTGTTTGTTTCTATATATTGCCTTACGAAAGAGCCCCATTCTAACACATGTACACCGGTGATAATCAACAGGTGGTCTGCGGGCCAAATTTGGACCGCCAAACCATCCATTCCAGCCCACGACTGGATTCCAAAATTAACATCAAACAATTTATTTCATTTCATTTTAGTGTCCGGCCCACAAGGTCCAGAAAAGTTCTGGCCTCTTCGACAAATATAGTTGGTGACCCCTGCAGTTTACTGGGGGGAGGAAGTCTTATCTTCTGTATTTATACGACTTCTGGCCCAAACTTCCAGCATGCATCTTGATTACTGGGGCTAATATAAACTCTGGTAAAGGTCAGCACTCCTAATTTTGTTGCAGTGGATCTAGGTTTAGTCTGTCGTTGTTTCTGAGCTCTCTCACTCCCAGCTTCCTGTTTTTCCAGAGTGAGATTTCAGTGGAAGTTTGACCTTAAGCTACCCTCCTCCTGGAATACACAGTTTACATTTTCACCTGAGTCTTGTTCTCGGCAAATATCAACTCCTTTTCATCAGCACAGGCATCACACTGGCTCCACAATCAAAGTTGAGCGGGGCTGGTGTAAACATCTGACCCCAGCAGTAAACGGATGATGAAGTGCTGCGGGGAGGATGTGACTCCAGATGTGTGTGGAGGTCGGTGGGCATCATTAGTAGCCTCTGTCAGCGGATGCCATTATGGGATTTAAATGGATGTCAGTGTAAACTGACATAGCACTTTCAGTCTTCATCAGTCTTTGACCATGTTTGGAGGAGAAATGAGCCCCAGGCCTGAAGGGTAACTGAAAGAGATCCATGTGACCTCATGCTTTATTTTATCCCTTATAAATACTTGTGGATAGATTGGTAATGAAAAATTCAGATGTTCTTTTTTTTAAGGCAAGAAAGGTTTGTATTACTGTGGATCACTGCAGTTTTAGTTTTAAATCCTGTGCTGCTTCAATAAAAATAAGAAGAGTTTATTTTTGCTCAAATACTTAGAACTCCAGTAGTATTTAATACGCAAATAGTCATTTTTAATTTGAAATGCCCACACAGCCGTTGAAGTGCTCGAAAAGTACCACCATAATCACCTGTAGACCATCGCTGTCTATGGAGAAACAACTGTAACAACCTCACTACTATCTGTGTTTACACAATAAGAAACTGAGTTTTAACCAATGTTCAGCTACTGTCAGATTTAATGAAATTCCTGCAGGGGGCACTGCTAATATACAAATTATAGATCGGCTCTATGCTCAGTAGTAGTAGGGGTTGATTGGCTAAGTTGTGTTTGCTGTTAGCAAGCAAGCTAATCAGTCCTTCTAGTGCTCATTGGTGGAAGTGCATGGGTGTAGGGTTTGATTCTTAATGCTAATTCACCCATTTGTGGCGATTATGGCTTTTTAATGTAAAATGTTAAAATTGTTTCTAGAACGTTCTAGATTTAACGAACCTTTGCGTGATTTTCCAGACAGGAAGTTAACACATGCCGAAGATTTTTATTAGACCTGAGCAGGTGTAGATTTTTGCTGAATGATTCTTTTCCCTGAGTCATTCATGTTACATTCAGAGTGGGTCGGTCCCAGACTGGCTCATGGCCCAAGTCGATCCCCTGTATAAAGTCAGTTCATCATAAGTTAATAAATGTATGTTCTGAATCACATCAGTGAATAAACAAACATAAACGTTACCATGAGCTTCTGTCAGTCAAACTCCGAGACTGTGACCAGTCCGTACGTGTTGTTCCCCCACTGTTTATATTCTTCAGTGTTTGGTTGTCAACGTTGCGTTGTTGAGTGGGCAGCAGTGACCACAGCTGTTCCCAGATGCATACGTGATGCCATTTGTCTCGCTCTGTAATCGCCCCCACCAACCCTGCCCTCAGTTGTCATAGGAGTGGGCCACTCCTGGACCATGAAATCGGGTACAAATCAAGAGACCGTATCTGCATCCAGCTGGTGCTGAGGTCTCACTCATCGGAAATAATAACTCACAGGATTTAGGGCCTGAGTCACACGACCTGCTGGGCACGAATACCTGCAAGCTGTTCTCCACGACTAGGGTTACAGTGGTAATTGCCGATACATAGAGTTTTCAGTCCTTGTGACACGATGACAAGTTGGTAAACGTGGTCTGTCTCCCTGTTGGTTGTTGTCTTGGCCTCAGTCGATCGACTCTAGACAGTGTTTAGTCACCACAGAAGATCTAGCAAAGGTGTGGACAAACTTTTGGAATTGTTGGGCCACAATTGTCCTAAAATTGAACAGGTGGGCCGGGTCAGGAACGTTCGTGTGAACTAAGATAAATGACATGTAAAAGTAATGTACTGTATCAAGGCTAAAGTTGCTGTAAAGCTTTTTGTGAACTCTACACCACCTATTGGGGAAACATGGGTATTGCAGGGAAAAGGCAGAAGTATAATGATAATATAAATGAATCATATAATTTGGAAAAGTTTAAAAGCTGAATGGGCCGCATCCGGCCCCAGGGCCTTATTTTGCCCATGCCTGATCTAGTGAGTTTTAATTGAGCTAAATGTCTTTTTTACTTTTATTATTTATCCATTGTTTTTAAAATTACATCTACAAAATACGTTTTATGGACAAAGAAATCAATCTGCCATCAATCTAAAATTTCAACTTGTTTCCCTGTAAAAAAACAAAAACAAAAACGTACATTTATTAAACTATTTTGAACAGAGAGATGAAAAGAAGAACTTTTTGTAGATTTCTCATCAAGTACCAGAAAAAAAACACCATGTACATTTTAACTCCCTAAATACTGTTGGGTTAAATGTTCAGACTTGTGTGAGTTAAGCTAACTTTTCTATGTAATACCAAACTATCATCACTGAAGGCGTTTGCGTGCGTCCAAACTTCAGGCTACGTTTTAGGTTCAAACCTTGCTCAGCATTCCAGTCAGTGAGACATCTGCTCCGTGATGGACACACACTTGTAGTGGTTCCATAAATAGGACGTCCATCAAATACTAAACAGTCATGACTTAGCAGAGAGCGGCTCTGATTGCTGGACGCCTGTTCTTGAAGACCAGCGACAGAAGTGACCAAGGAGACACTTGTGTGACCTTTTGACCTGTGGGTGACAGAACTGCCAAGACGTGCGAGACATTGTATCCCTTCTGCTGGTTTGAGTGGTTGTCTTACCACCACCCTGCTAGCTTTAAACAACAATGGCTCATCTTTGTGTGATTTAAGATACACAGCTTTACAGTGAAGCCACAGCAAACACTCCAGAGTAACGAGCTGCCCATACGTTTGTGAGCACATAAGGGGAAAGGCCAGGCTGTAATAGTATCTGTGAAAAGCCTCTAAAAGAGTATCTGTGTGTGGTGTCATCACTCAGCCTGTCAGAAAAGGTACTTAATGCTCTAATTGGCAACGCGACACTTTCATGCGTGTTTCCGTGCCCAGGTCTGCTAAAACCATTAGGAGACACCAGCAGATACCTGATGAACAACACGGCATCATGTGTTTGTGTTTAAGGAGCTTTACGGGAAGAAACAGGAAGGTTCTTGCCTTCAGGTCCAACCAGGCCCTCGTTCATCGGTGGTGGGCTGTTGTTTCTCTCCAGAACTTCAAAGACTTTGCTCTGAAGGTTATTCTGTGGCTCTTTATTGCCCAAAGGCGTTAATGTGAGTGTGGATGTTTGATCGTCTCTGTATGCTAGCCTGTGATGGAGTGGTGACCTGTCCAACTTTTACCCTGCCCTTTGCCCAGTGTAAGGCAGGGGTGTCTCCAGCTGCCCGCTATAATCCCCATGTGAGAAGTCGTGTCGATAATGAGGAGAAGTGAACCCATGGAACATATGTTGACAGAGTGAGCCGTGGTTGATTGGCTGAGATTAAACAAACACGTTTTCATTTTCACTCAGTTCTTCTCGTCTAATATTAGTCCTTAGGCTTATACCACATGTTAGGGTCTGTTATTATATCAGTCAAACCTGTGTGACTCCAAAACATTCCAAGGTATCTGAAATCTGGAGGTGGTAAGGAGAGCTTGAAACCCAATTCAGGGTTCATCAACTATATTTGTTGGGGCGCCAGAATTTTACTGGACAGACACCTCAGGGGCTGGACTCTCAAATAAAATAAAATCAAAATCCGTTTTTTGTCTAACAGAATGTAATTAGAGTCATAAATGTGATTACTTAGAGTTATTTTGGTCTCAGTTGTTTTATTTTTTCAGTTGCTTTAACAGTAGATTCACAGGATATTTCCTCTTCAAATCCTCTGATTTGATCCTCACAAATTTGGAATGTAGTCGTGGGCCGGATCGGTTTGCTAGGTGGGCCAGATTCGCCGGTTGATGATCGCTGAACCTTTGGCACTGAAAAACAGTTCTAGAGACTATATGTGGAAAAGAAACATAGGTGACCAAAAAGTAGACGACATGTGATGGCGACACGGTACGTTGATGGAGTGTAAACATCACACTGGAGGTGGAGATGATGATGATGATGGCTACGAAATACTAAGTAGGTGGAGGTCAGTCTAAGATTAGCCTGCCCTCTGACACGGCCCGCGGATGCCCGCCATGTTTGTCATTTCTCCCTTCGCTGTCCTGCAGTGTGTCAGAGGATTGTAGTGCGGCCCACCCCACCAGTGACCAGTCATGAAAATAAGCTCATTCATATCCATTTATTCAGTTTTCACCAGTGTCCAATGTGCGCTGAGTGACTTGGATCCGGTTGCTGTAAATTGAAGTTGTTTCACATATGGTAAATAATGCAGGGACTGGTGAATTCCCACAGAGAGGAAATAACTCCCAAATGTGTGTAAACACAGCGTAGTGTTAGATCATGGGTCGGTGTGTTGTTGATGCACGTGGGCGTACCGTACAGGATATGTAAAACGCCCAAACATCAGTGTATCTGTGGAATTCCTGATCCGTAAGGTGACTCCAAACTCCCAGTCAGGTGCAGAGCTGAGCACAAGGGGGAATCTGTGAGTGTGAGGGGGAATGTGGGTGGGAAAGCTCGGGGTCTAAATCCATAGTCGACAGCTGCTGTGTATGACTGTTTCTCGTGTGTGTGTGTGTGTGTGTGTGTGCAGTCAGCCACCCAGTGATGAAGGCCTTGTGTGAGATTTTTGTTTCCTCATTCCTTAGTTACATTTGTACTTCAAAGGAAACTGTCAGAGTGCAGTATTAATGAGTGAAACCTGAAACTGCAGACCCTCATCCCAACTGCCCCGACCAATCAAATCATCTCTACATTGACTTCAGTGCAACACACATTTGGTCAGACCACTGGGGGTTTTACTGCAATGAGGAGCTCTTGTGTTTTTTTGGTTGTGTTTTTTTTACCAACAGCTGCAAAATATCCATAGCCTAGAACAGGCATGGGCAAACTAGGGCTCGGGGACCGGATGCGGCCGTTTGGCTTTTTAATCCGGCCTACAAAACTTGTCCAAATCATGTTATTAATTCCTATTATCATTATACTTTTCCCTGCAATCCCTGCATTTCTCCAATAGATGGCGTAGAAAAGGCTTAAAGCATTTTAGCCTTTATGACTTTTTTGTTTAAGTTCCTGACCCCACCTCCGTCAAATTTTAGGACCCAAAAAGTTCGCCCACGCCTGGTCCAGAATGTCAAAATCTAATAAGAAATAATAAGTTCCTGGGATTTCATAGGTTTTATCTCAATTTCAAACCCCTACCCTGGTGTACCCTCCTGATTGAATTCATGAAGCTGTTTCGGTTTCCTTCAGTGATGTGTTTTGATGCTACGATTGCTTTCTCCACAGGTTTGGAGCTTTGCCGAGTCACACAGTGAAAACAAGCTGCCTCTTCGGTCTCTCCATCCCTGGAGAAAGTTGAATAGTGGATTGGTCAGGATGAAGAGGGACTGGATCATCCCACCTATCAGAGTGCTAGAGAACAGCAAACAGGTTCCTGAAGATCTAGTCCAGGTAGGAGCACCAGTAAATTTCTTCTTTACTAAGTCAATGATTGGATCATGATGGTTCAAAGAAATGTCGTTTTTTTTGTATTTAATTCCACTGAAACAGATATCATATGTATATTAAATTGTATATTTTTCATTATATTTTATATATATTCAATATATTTATCATAATTAAAATATGTTTAAAATCAGAAGTTTGTCAGGACCAAAACTTACTTCACTCTATGTATTGATTATGGTATTTTTCATGACATAATGAATCAGTTCACTAACACTAAGAGAACTGGGTTGATTCACTGGTTAAATACCAGTTTTAACCAGATTTACCACCTGTTCCCTCCATATTGTTTTCACTTACAACACTACAAGGGAATGTTCACTGCTAATATATCATTCATGATTTAAAAACACAATCATACTGTAGGCATTTTAGGTTAGAGCAGATAGTACAGGCTGGTGCTCAGTAGGAAGTGCAGTCGCCTTACAGCAGAGGGGTTGAGGGTTCGATTTCAGTCTTAGTAAATTATGTTCCACCGTCGTGTCATACACCTGGGGTTGTTATATCCCATTTGAGTGGTCATCAGACCATTTGCCAAAATGGTCATGGGCCCACAAACCCCTTATATCTGCCTGATGACTAAATGTCAATAATAATTTGCCCTTTAAAAAAATGTCATGTGTCTGTGTGTGTATATAGGTATAAATACATATATTAAATTATAAAAAAAATGTATTTATATTCAACAAAAACTACTTTTTTGAAAGCCATTGCTGCACCATCAGGGTTTGAGACCCCTGTTCTTGAGACTTCAGAAACTATGAGACATAATAGAGACATGATAACTGGTCCTTTAGGACATCAATGTCTGACAATTACCAAACCAGAGTTCAGTCAAAAACATCTGTAACCACAGCCTTAGATTCTTCTAATTATCCAGGACGGAGGACCATATGCAGTTTGGACTGTGTGTGTGCAGTGGAGAGGTGGAGTCCTTGTTGCGTTAACATTATTAACAAGCATGAAGTCATAAATACACACTGGGGCACTTTTATGAAGTGGTGAATCTGCTCCACGGCCAAGATGTCCAAGACAGTGAGAGAAGAACACATAAAATACAGTCTCTCTGAAAATATTAGTTTGGAGTTTTATTTCTGCTCAGGTCTCTCTGGGTCAGAAGACTTTTTTTGTCTCCAGGTTCTTGTCAACACACTCACATCTGGAATTACGACACATGTTTTACGACTCTCCCCAGACTTCTCCGCAAAGTTGTAACAATCGTTTCTGTCCAGATCAAATCGGACAAAATCTTTACAGGTGAGGTGATCTACAAGTTGGAAGGGCCAGGTGTGGACCAGGAACCGAAGAACCTGTTTGAGATTGATGATAAGACGGGAGTGATCAGGAGCAAGCAGCCGCTGGACCGGGAGAAACACAAGAGTTTCACAGTAAGAACTCATCAATCTGTGTGACATCATGATCACTGAGCTACTTTACATGTCTTTGACAACGTAATCAGAGACAGGAAACAACACGGGCTCATAAGGCTCTAATGAGAACCGGGCCAAGAGTTTCTACATGCGCCCACGTTTTTCTGTTAAAGACATACATACATACATACATACATACATCTGTTTGAGACGCTAGAACCAACAGCCAGAGGTCAGTCTCCTGGGGCCTTTATAGGCGTCTGGGGAGACACTTCAGGATGTTTCACTCCAGATGACTCCTGATGTAATGTTGAAGCAAACATCCTGCACATGTCTTTCTGCTATTCCCAGCATATGTCAGGGACATGTAGTGCACATATAGAAGCAGTCCCTGCAGCAGAAGGTCAGATGTTTCCATGACCAAATGCAGGTTTCTTTTTTTGTATTATTATTACTACAGATGTTTCCATGACCAAATGCAGGTTACTTTTTTTTTTTTGTATTATTATTACTGAGACACTTTTGTCTGTTTCTGCAGCTGAAAGCCTTTGCACTCTCACCCAGTGGAGAGAGACTGGAGAATCCCACCACTATAGAAATCATGGTTCTGGATCAGAATGACAACAGACCTTCCTTCACCCAGAGCCAGTTTGATGCTTCTCTCCCTGAGTTTTCAATTCCAGGTAAATCATTATATTGTTATACAGTCAACTGTCAGCGATGACTCATAGGTAGACTGTACATTACCACCTGAACGCCTTAAAAGTAGCTGCTGTATTAATGGTTGTAGATTCAACGTGTGGACTTCCTGTCATCTGCAGTGTACTAATGTCATGGTAGAGACCAGAGGCATCGTCATGGTCTAAACCAGTCTTTCCCCAACTTTTCTGGGGACTCGTAGAGGGTCGCAGGATGACCCCAAAAAAAATCTCCCACCTGAGGGTTGCGACCCAGTCTTTGGGAAACAATGGTCTAAATGGTCTGATCAGCACCTGCTGTTGTATAGACACGACAAACACAGGAATAACAATCCGAGTTTTACTGGCATAAAACCATGCAAGATGGAAGATGGACTTAAAATATTAAAAGTTCAGACCTCAACAACATTCCTGTTACAGCCCACATCGCATCACATAACTCCACAGAACCTCTGGGGGGGGGTTAGTTCTGGAGGTCACATTCCATTACAGTAGCATTGATTTCCCCCCAGGCGGTTCCTCCTATTTGAGGGTCCTGGTATTCCGTCAGTAATGGTTGGGGTATGTGGGAGTCACTCTGACACGTGCTTACAGTATAACAGTCAATCAAGAACATTTAACAGGATTAGGACAGTGTTTCCCAAGCCTTTTTGATCCACAGCAAATATATATCATCAGGAAAAACCCACGGCACACCACCAAACACAAATCTCACAAAAAGTATATGTAATGAAATATAATAATCTTCTAATTTAAATTTACTAAAAATGTACTCCTGTCTAGTTAAAGACAATGCTATTATACTGGCAGGAATTGAAGAAAGACACTCACAAAGGTCTTCATCAACAGCTTTGATTATCTTTTTTGTTTTGTTTTCATAGCCATCTGCCGCCACCTAGCAGAAGAGTATTTAATTGTTGTGCCTTTTCTGCTTTGACGAGAAAAAAGGAGTAAATAAATAATAGCTTTCAGACCAATTAAGTGAAATTGAATTTTTTCCACGGCACACTTAATGATCTCCCACGGCACACTTGTGTGCCACAGCAGTGGTTGGGAACCACTGGATTAGGAAATAGCTAAAGTTAATACAAAATGCTAACCAACGTAACGGGTCTTTTATCATATAAAGTATCGTGTTTCGTGACTGTAATCATTTACCTCCTGACATGTCACTGATGTGACTGATGTGAAACTTCTCACTGTGATCGTCCACAGGCACATTAGTGATGACAGTTTCAGCCACAGACAAGGACGACCCAATGACGGATAACGCTATACTGAGCTTCTCTATCATTGGTCAGGAGACCATTCCTCCCAACGCCGTCACCAAGACCATGTTTGGTATCAACAGCCTGACGGGAGCCATCTACCTGAAAGAAGTGGGTCTGGACAGAGAGGTAAGAAGAGCGACCAAGTCAGAGTGACGACGTTGACTGTTGGAGATTATCGTCACGTGGTTGATTCTCAAACATCTCTTCTTGTTTCAGGTGGTGAAAGGTTTTAAATTAAAACTGCAGGTTGCTGACATGGGGGGCATGGGCCTCACAAGTGACGGCTTGGCTGTCATCAATGTGTCTGACATCAACAACCACGCACCGCAGTTCAACCCCGACACAGTGAGTTTATTAAACAGACTCATGTGAACCCAAACTGTCGTTTGAATTTTAACGTATTATAAATTGTGTGTGACTTCAGTACAGCGTGGCTGCTGTGGAGAACAGGAAGGACTACGAGATCTGCCGGGTGAACGTGACAGACAAAGACGAGCCCGGAACAGGAAACTGGGAAGTCAAATATTCAATTTCCAATGATCCCAATGGGAATTTTGCCATCGCCACACATCCTACAACCAATCAGGGAATACTATCAGTAGTGAAGGTAAAGTCGGCTTGCGCTTCATACACACGGACTTAACTCAATACTACCACCTAGTGGCCACATCTAACGATTACTTTTTTCTGTTTGTCCTTCAACGCAGCCGTTGGATTATGAATCTCAAAGTAATCACGTCCTGATTCTAAGCGTGGAAAATATAAACAAAATGAGCACCAAGACTCCTAACCTGCCAGTGAGCTCGGCTACAGTGGTGGTGACGGTGGTGAATGAGAACGAAGCTCCACATTTCACTGAAGACCCCATCCAGATAGTGGTCTCTGAGTCGGTTCTGCCAGGAACGCTGCTGAAGAGCGACATCGCCTCTGACCCTGATCATTCTGAACTGAGGTACGATGGTAACGCAACAGCGCTGGGATATTTTTATTTCTATTTCACATGTTTGTTTATCAAACATGCTGTGTTTGTGGTGCAGATACGAGATGATCCTTGATCCAGAGCGCTGGTTGGACATCAACAGTGTCACAGGTGACATTTCATCTAGGAGAAAGTTCAACATGAGATCTCCACACGTCCAAAACCAGGTGTACAGCGCTGTGGTAAAGGTCACAGGTCAGTTCAACTTCCTTCGTGTTTTTTTGTCGAATAAGAATTAAACGTCTTTTTATGTATAAAATAAATATTAATGGAAATGATAATAATGTCTTCATTAAACATTAAAATGACCCTAAAATATATTTTAAAATTACATTAAATATATTTCAATAAACTATGAATTAAATATTATCACATCATTTAATGTAACATTTTAAATATAAAATATAAATAGGATATAAATAACTTTAACTATTCACTGTGTTTTACTTCATACTGGTAATAAAGATATTAAAATAATACAATGTGTATATTTTATTTCTGTTTTATATTTTATTTAATTATTCCAATTAAATTCAGGGCCTACTGCAGCTAAGTGTACTGTAGTTATTTTTGTCAGCGTTACTTTTGGTCACGTGGTGATGATGTCATGATGACATCACTTATTGTTACTTGTGAATATTATTGCACGAGGCAGACATCACTTATTGTTACTTGTGAATATTTCGAACATTGCACGAGGCAGAAAAAAAAAGTGTTTCTGTTGCCAGTGTGCTTTGTTATTCTGTGGTCATTACAATAGGATTAGGATTATTTTATCAGTCGCTTGAACATTTGATGAAATAACTAATTGTTTTCCGGTATTACTGTGTGTGTCTGTAGATGCTGTCGGAGTGTCGACCACGGCCACAGTCTCCATCACATTGAAGGAAACCAATGACTTCCCTCCTCAGATCTTGCCTCTTACTGGGACTGTGTGTGAGGGCGCGGCGCTGACTGTGACTGCGGTCGATGAAGACTTCCCTCCACACTCCTCACCGTTCAAATTTGAAATTTATGATGATCAGTTAGCCAACTGGACCGTCACCCAGATTAACGGTACGTTAAACAGACAGTAGTTTGTTTTGGGTTTTTTTTTTCCACCTGGTCTTTCTCTCATTCACACACCTTCTCTCTTCCTGCTCTAGACACTCACGCTAAGCTTTGGCCCCTGGTGAAGCTGGAGGCCGGAGAGTACACGGTCCATGTGCTGGTTTCTGACTCGGGCAGTCCAGTCATGAGTTCTTTTGCTGCGGTCAACATCACTGTGTGTCTGTGTGACTTCTTCGGAGACTGTAAATCAGAGGCAGGGGCTGTGTACGGCTCCAGTGTTGGAATCAGTGTCATTTTTCTCACTCTCATCATGGCCAGTGTTGGTCTCTTACTGGGTAAGTGTCAATTTCTACTCGAAAACCAAGACAGTAAATGTTGTATAATCTACTTATTCTGTTGTTCGAACTTGTGGTCAACGCAGGTAATAAGTAATTTTATGAAATTCTAGTTTATTTGTTTACAAATGTGCCAGTTCACAAATCCACTTTAAGTAACTTGGTGTGCAGAGGTATCTGGAAAAAAGAATGGTATCTCGTTGTAAAATACTATATTAACAGCTGTAAGATTATTATATTCAGCTGTGGTTGTGTTTTATTTAAAATGTTATATGAATCAACAATTAGAAAAAAATAGAATTCACATTATATACAGTATATTTGTATATATGTGTATAAATACATATGTATATACACTGTATATAATATGAACCCTAGTTTTCTTCTAATTGTTGAAAGTCATTATTTATATGTATATATTCAGTATATATACAGTATACATATATACTTTCACTTTCATACATATATATATATATATATATACACACACTGTTGTTTTTACATGTTTATTTACACATTTACACAAAAACAAATTTATTTTGCGCACACCCTAGTGGCAACAAAGGTGCACGCACTAAACTTTGCACCCGTTCTAGTTCATCTAGCGTTAATCTTGGTTTCAGACCGAGCGGAAAATACTAGAATGAAAGGCAAGTACTAATTTGTTCTAAAAATGCGACACTTATCCTCAGTGCTCCTCCTGCTGGCCGTGGTTGTGACGAGCTGTAGGAGACGCCACCATAACAAGAAAGGAACAGGTCTTCTCATTGGAGAATCAGAAGACGACATAAGAGATAACGTCATCAACTACAACGAGCAGGGAGGTGGTGAGGAGGACGAGGTGAGGGAGACCGACTCTCTTCTTCATACACTCGTGTTAAATGTGTCCCGTTGTGTTTCCCATCACTACATCCCATCTGCTCACCTTGCAGAATGCTTTCAACATTGACATACTGTGGAATCCCCGTGACGTGCCTTCAACACCGGGCTCCTACCGCCCAGAGTCATATGTGCCTCGAGGCAAACAGCCTCTCAGGATGGATGCCCCACATAATCTGCCCTCCCCTATCTACCCAAGGAGGCCTCCGGCAGACCCCACTGACATTGAGGACTACATCAATGAAGTGAGCGGAGAACAAACAGTAGTTCCATATGTCAATAAAAGAGACTTCTGTCTCTCTGCCTCAGATCAGACAGGAGAGCAGCCTGTAACCAACAGTTTACTATGAAGGATCTCGTTGATCATCATTATATATTGTTAATTATTATTATTTAAATTAGTATTTTTTTAATTACTACACACCTTTTATGAACAGTATTAATATATACACATATAATTCATTCATCTTCTACGACTCACTTTTTTTTCCCAGCAGTCAATCATTCATTCACACCTATGGTCAGTTTACAGTCATCTAATTGATGAATTGCATTCGTTTTCTGGACGGCAGGCCGGACAGTCACTTGTGAAGCCACAATACTGCACTGTAATGTGTGTGGAATAAAGTCTGCCGCCACTCTGCTAAAATGTATTGATACTAATACACGGTCCCTACCAATAAACAGGTCAAAATAATGTACCACTTGTTTCCCCCAGAACCTTGAAGCAGCAGACAACGATCCGAACGTTCCTCCGTACGACACTGCTCTGATCTACGACTATGAAGGCGAGGGCTCTCTGACGGGCAGCCTGAGTTCCATCGCCTCCAGCAGCTCTGACGCAGACCAGGACTACGACTACCTCAATGACTGGGGACCACGCTTTCAGAAACTGGCCAACATGTACGACCCACGATAAGGTGGACGGTCCCCTGACAGAAGGAAGGTTCACAGCCAGTGAGAGACACTGATCCCACTGAGGGTCTGTGTCTGGACACATTAGGGAAGATTTTAAAACGGTGAAGCACAAGATGGGAAAAAAAAACAAAACAACGACACTTTAGCTTTAACACGCCCGAGCTTTTAGCGAGGATTGTCAGTGGACGCAAGTTTTCAAATGGTTTATTGAGCTCAGGGAGAGTTGCCAGGAATTTTTGATCAGGTTTTGAGTGTAGACCGTGAATAGAGGTTTATATTCCAGAAGTTTACAGAAGTCACCTGAGATGAGGCTCTTCCTGAATCTTCTCAGGTCTCAGTAATACTGAAACAAAATGTAGCCTCATTGCCTTGTAGCGCTCTATTTAAGTTCCTTCTGCCAGGATGATACACTTTTGGTCTCCTCCGTAGACCTGTATGGCTCTGTCCTACAGGAAATGTTACCAGGCCAGAGTGTGGGTTAAATTGTACGTTAACAAGTCTGGTTGATATTGGAAGTACAAGGCGTAGACGTCTGCAAAAAAAAAAAAAATTCAAAAAAAAAAAAAATCCAAAAAAAAAATCACGTTTAATTGTTTTTGTATTTCTTTTTTATATATATTAATGTGGTTATTTTATAGATATTTAGTTATTTTCCTTCTGTTGTGTTTACTGCGCCTCCATTCCATCATTTGTTTCATGTTGTGTGAACCCTCTCAGCACAACTATTACTTAAGAAACTGCATCCCATCATATTCTGTAGTCACATCGTCTGGAGGTAATTTTTTTTTTTTTTTCGGTTTATTATTTGTGGATTTTAGATCTGACTGAAGTCTGGAGAATAAATGCATATTGTCAGTAATTTTTGAATGAGAAATTCAAAAATATAAGCAAATTTATATTTTTTACCCCTAATATCAATAACAGATATTTTTGTTTTATAGAAAATTGTGTAAGAAATATGCTTTATGACCTCATATCATTTATTAATTTATCAGAAAGTAAGAAATAACTGAAGTTATTGTCTCATTTGACTTTCTGTTCTGATTAACTTTTTATTTGCTCACGACTAAGATACATGTTCTGATTAACTTTTTATTTGCTCACATTTTGACAAATACGACTAAAATACAAGTTAATTTTTTTTTTTTTTTTTTTTGTATGCCCAAAAGGCTGTCGTTTTACAGCGTGATGTTTCCTTCTGAAATTTGAAGTGTCTTACCAGTTTCTAACGCTGGTGGGCATTGTTTTACATATTTGAAGTTTCTTGGACTTTTTCTTAACCACTGTCCAATACCTTTTTTTCTTTTAGTACACATACAGTAAAGAGGGAAAGCCAAACATACAAAACCTCGTTCTTGTACTTCTCACAACTACAATCTGTGTGTCTGATAGTGAACGAAGGCTGACCTGTTGGGTGTGTTGATCACATTTGCTGACTCAGGATTTTTATTTGCAGACAGTACTGTTTCCGTTTTGTAAGCATACTGCACTATGCTAACACAGTAGTAACATCATAATCCAGGACATAAAAACATCACAAGTCGATGTATTTGTCCCTTCTGCTCATCAACTAGTTCCTGTGTGAAACTTGTTTCAGCACCGTATGTTGGAATGATGGACCAACTTTCTTAATGACCCCCTGTATTTAGAAGAGGATCCTGCAGAAAACTGTTTCTTAAGGTTCCCCAAAACAAAACCCCAAAGGTGAAAAAAATCACTTTTTTTATTTTAATTTCTTCTGCCTCTGATCAAACTTAAAAATACAGCCATGTGCAGAGGTTTGTCACTTTATAGTTTTACATTTTACAACTAAGTCAGCTGGGAATTCATCTCCTCCTCATCTCTGTGTTTCCAAGAAGGTGGTTGAGGTTCCTCATCTCCTGTGTCTTGTTTGTCTTTCTCTGCCTCCACCCAACTTTGGGGGAGGATCATCTTCTTGGGCCCGTGAGGTGGCGGACCCAGTAAGGCTTCGATGTCGTTGTAATTCACCACCTCCCGCTCCAGCAGAGCACTGGCCAACTGAAGATGGGAGACAACTGGGTCAAACTTAACGCCACCAGACACCAAACTAAAATAACGAAAAATGATTGGAATGTACAGAATTCAGGATGAAGGAATGACCAACTGACCAGTGTCAGTTTGTCTCTGTTGTCCAGCAGCAGCTTCTCTGTGTGTCTGTAAGCACGGGCTATCAACAGCTTCGCTTCCTGAAAGAACAACATCTTCCGTTAAATCTTCAACTCTTCAGCTTCGCTTCCTGAAAGAACAACATCTGCCGTTAAATCTTCAAACTCTTGACGGCAAAAAAAGCACTTTTTACTGTAAGTCAACGTTAGCAGTGAGCTAATTTAAGAACAGAAGACCCGTCCAGTTAAAGAACCCACGTGGTCCATTTGCTGCTGCAGGCCTTTGCTGAAGGGCCGACGTCCGATGGCACCTTGTTCTTCGGTCTCTGGGAAGGAGACTTGTCCCACACTATCACACATGCCGTACTGTTTCACCATAGAGTAGGCCACACGGGTAACTTTGCGCAGATCATCCTGAGCTCCTTGGAACACAGAGTACACAGTGTTTTTTTAACAATTACAGTATTTTTACAGCGCTGCGCACAGAGGTCACTTCAACGACTTCAACAACTTCAACGAATCTATCATCTAGGAAACAAGTGCCTGATTCCACAATGGTGAAACACATTCACGTTCCTTTTCTACATATTACCCATAAATAATTATTTGAACATAACTAAAGATCTCGCCCAGCTTGTTACCAAACACGGAGGCAGAGAATTCCTAATTCATTTCAGTCCATGCAGCAAAAAATGACAACTGGTTCCACAACTAAAATGATACATATTTTTTATAGGTGGGTTTGCCGACTACCATGACTTGTTTTTACCTGTTGTAACGTGGTTAAAGGTGATGGCTTCAGCAGCTCTTCCTCCCAGAGCCATGCACATCCGCTCAAACAGCTGATCCTGGGAGAACAGGTACTGATCACGAGGCAAAATCTGGACAAATCCAAGGGCTGCGTTAGTCCGTGGGGCAATGGAAACCTGAAAGAAGTAACACATATATATATATATAACCATGTCTTCCAGCCAGACCCTTTTTTGGCCTGTGAGTCCATTCTGATTTCACAAATTTCCTGCAACCCCAGAGGCATTTTATTAGCTGTCACTTGCACAGTCACTTGATTGACGACAGCCAATCAAGATGCTCCAGCTTGAATATTTTTATTTGAACTGAAGGGATATAGTTAATTATAATTGTGGTTGGTGATTTTTATTAGTATTTTTTTGTATCAATTACTAGACATTTCAAGTGACCTCATTTGAATTCTAGGCGACAACCCAAAGGTTGATCAACCCCGCCTTAGAAACTCACAATGTTATTATTGACATTCAAAATTACCAATATTAATAATAATGTGACTAAAGAAACAATTATCACTAGGATCCCAGGCCATCAGTGTGTTACCTTCATTACTGCCTCTGTGTGCTCCAGTAACCATCCCACCAGTGCATGTCCAGACTCATGGAAGGCAACAATTTTCTGCTCCTCTTTAGACAGAATTTTACTCTTTTTTACACTTCCTGAGGATTCAAAAACACACAAAATCACAGTTACTGTATGACTGCGGGACGTTGTTTGTCCTACTATAAAGTGTTGGCACCATTTTACCTGCTATCACTCTCTCCACGGCGTATTCAAAGTTAAAGGTATCAATCGACTTGTATCCCTCTCTGGCTGCGTGCAGAGCAGCTTCATTACAAATGTTTGCGATGTCTGCACCTGCAGTAAAAGGGTCGGATGGAAAGCAAGGTTTTCCAATTACTGTACATTTATAGTACGTGGGAGTAAAGAGCAACTGTTGAGGAATTAAGTAAGTACGCCTACCACTAAAGCCTGGGGTGAGCTCAGCGAGTCGTAGAGAATAAAAATTAGCTGGTTGTGTCAACTTCAAATTCTTAAGATGCTGCTCATAGATCTCCTTCCTCTCCTAAGGGTAAAAGAAAAGAAATAAACAATGCTATTAAATTATATTTTTACAGATTTGTGATACTATAAAGTACACGTTTAAGTACTATAAGGAGGTTGGTGGTTACAGCAGAATGAAGAGAATTATAATATAATGGCACCACCTGCAGTGTAGGAAGATCAATAAATATGTGCCTGTCCAGTCGGCCTGGTCTCATCAGAGCATTGTCCAAGACATCTGCTCTGTTGGTGGAGGCGAGGACAATAACATGGTCTGTGGTGCCCATCCCTATGAGACAGGTTCATCGTGAAAATAATGTCACTACACAGTCTGCTTCTAACAACAACCAACTGCTCTGAGGTTTCCACCTCTACTGACCGTCCATCTCCACCAGCAGTTGGTTGAGGGTCTGCTCCTCCTCAGAATTGGAGAAACCTGACATGTTGGTGGACCGCTTCTTTCCGACAGCATCGATCTCGTCAATGTAGACGATGCATGGCGCTCGCAAACGAGCCTCCTTGAAAAGACTCCTGACTCTAGCTGCACCCAGACCTGTGCACAAAAAAGTTATACGTGATTATTATACATTTCACTTTTTTACAAATTATACATTTTTTCTGCTAAAAATAACCCTTAAACAGCATGGTTAATTAATTAATTAACACAAGTAGTTACAAACCTCCGATGACCTCAACAAACTCGGAGCCAGCCATGGCCAGAAATTGAACTTGGGCCTCAGTAGCCACAGCTTTAGCCAGCAGTGTTTTCCCACAGCCTGGAGGCCCCAGCAGCAGTGCACCCCTGGGCACTTTAGCTCCCAGCTGAATGTATCGTTGTGGGCTCTGGCAACACATGCAGCAATGTGGTTCACAATAGACGGCAACAGGGAACTTTGAATTTGTATGTTTTTAGCAATGTGATACAACCGCCAATCATGCAAAAATCAACAGGCGTAAATGTGGTTTCTTACCTTAAGGTAGTCAACAAACTCCTTGACTTCTGTTTTAGCCTCATGCATGCCTGCTACATCTTTGAAACTCACACCTTTACCCGACTTTCCATCCACTATGGTGAACTTGGCCATCTTCAGTTGACTCTGTTAAGAATCATAATACCGGCTTAAGGAATAGTGCACCCAAAAAGAGATACGTATGTGTACCAATGCGATTATCAGAGTTCACTCACAAAAGCACTGAAACCACCATCTTTGCCACCCATGCCGGCCAGTCGAAGGATATACCAGAGAATAGCCACACCGATAGCAGCCATTCCCACAGCATAGAGTGCACTGCAAAGAGAACAGAAAACCGTGGATTACATCTAAAAATGTTCACTTTTCTAGAACCGATACCGTCACAGGTGCTTTCTTAATTCTACAAGAAGTCTGTTTCTTACTTTCCAAAGAATCCAGTGCGTTTGTATGACACAGGAATCCTGTCCTTTGCGTCAATATTCAACTCTTCTTCAGCAGCTCGCAGCTTCTCCTCAAATTTGTCAATGTTTGCAACTTGCATTCTGTACATTAGTGCCAGCCTCTGCAAAGCAGGTTATGTTGTATGAAATGTTTTTTTTTGCCAAACTTGTACTAGTTTCACTTTAAATTTACAATGATTTACAATAAACTTACAGGCCTTCCAAAGATGACAGCACCAGGATGAAGGTAGATTTCAACAATGTCACTTTCTGGAACAACTTGTACACGTGACACCTCTCCTTTGGCCAACATCTCATTAACAAAGTCACTCCATGAGATGTTACCACCACTAGTGTTGATGGAGTTTACCAGGCTTAGGATTAGAGCAATGATGAAGAGGGTTCGAAGACGCTCTCTGTACATCTGGGCTACCTGCTCACGCCGTTTTTTCTCATCTGGAAAAAAGAAGACAAAATGGCATGCAATACCAAATTACAGTTTAAAGAACAACAATTGACAGATGGTACAAGTGTTCTATAACTGACCTTCATCGTCCTCTTGACTTTTTCCTGTCTGTCCATCAGTTTTATTTTTCTCTTTTTTAGACTGTGATGTACTGAAAAAGTTAGTAGATCCTGAAAGGAGAGTTTTCAGGAGCAGGTTAGAGTAAAAAAAATAAAATAAACAAACAATAACGTGATGTTAAGTAGGGTTGTTAGATTAAATGATTTACCTAATAAATTCACCAAACCAACAGGATTCCTCAAGAGGTTGCGCCTGATTAACTCTTTGCCAATTCCCTCCATGCCATAACCCAAGGGCCTGTGTAGAAGACTCTAAAGTAAAAACAATAACAGTGTAAGTTATAATCAAGGTAATAATGAAGTATCACTTGGTAGTTGTTCCTCACTCAGACTCAGGGGCACTATAAAGACCCACTGAGGAAACTTACTTTTGTAAACCTCATCTACATTATAAAAACTGTTCTTTCCCCCTAACTGCAATTAATTTAATGAAATATACATACATTTGTCAGATGAACCTTAAAGGAAAAAGAATAAAGATTTCTACACAAGAGTTGATTTATAAAGGCTACATAAATCTGGCAATGAACATCACACTGCATCTATACCAAGCAGCTATTTCTGTAATACGAGTAGTTTTGTGTCACCTGCATGAGTTGTAGGGGCTGACTTTGATTTGTCCACTCTGATTTTGGAAGAAGTCTTTTCCTGACATTCGTGCATCGGGAAAGAAGATGTTTAACGCCATCTCCGAAAGCCAGCTTGTATGATAGGCCATGGCATTTTCTCTTTGACAGTGACAACAATATACCACAGCTGGACTGTTTACAAAGGCCAGTTCGTTGCTGCAACAGCCAAATTGACATTATACCGGCTGTCACCAATTGCAGTGTTTTAGTTTAGAAAATGCTATGCCATATTCAACAAAGGGCCTAATTAAAGCTAAATTGCAGATTTTAAGGATTTGTTTACCTTCACTGCTCGAGCTAGCCTGTCTGTTTTTTAACTACGTAAGTCAAGATGACGGCTAACAAATGCAAAATAATACTAGCAACACTTATTTACGGAAGAGAAAACAAAACGGTAAAATGCGCCATTTCCCTTTTCCTATTATTAATATGTCGACGGTGTTTTAACCTGTCCTTGGTTTTATAAATATCCTGCGTGTTAAGCGTATGCGTAAATAGTGCGCCTCACACACTCTCAAACATGTTTAGAATGAACTATGAACCGGACGTTGTTCGTCGTCACTGCGTGTTGTTTGTCACTACGTTTTCAATCCGTTTATTTTTACGTTTTTGCTCAATATCAAGTTGAAAATGACATCAAACATAAAAAACAAATCTAACAGATGACAATGTGCCATATTAAAGAGGTTATACCGTTTTTCATTACAAATTGTATGTAATAAAAATCTAATTTTAAATTATAATAATTATTGATATATATATTATATTCTAATAATTAGATAATTAAATATGTTTTCTTTAGTGAAATGACAATGCATCGATAATATTCTTAAAGGTATTCTTAAACGTTCGTTTTCTTAAGTCCATGACGGACGCAAGTATCAAAATGCTAGAGCACCAGAGGGCGCTATTACTTCAGTTGATGGCATCGAAAACCGGGGCTTACTGTACATGTCGCCAATTTTGATTGCAATACAAATACTACGCGTATTTATATTTGTTGATGCCTCAAAACGTTTGCTAAAAAACATACATTTTATTGAAAAATGTGTCAATGAAGGAATGCATTTTCAATATTGACCACTGAATACAGTATAGTGTCCCTTTTAATTTCTGTTTATATCTTATGGGTGAAAACGCACCACTGTCATTTGTTACTGTAAGCTTAAGCATAACCTGGGGTAACATAACGTGTACAGGTCCGTTCGACTGAGGTGTCCAATGACAACACCTGACTTATCTTCAACCAATATAAGGATTTGTTTCATTCCCTCGTTTTCGTTCGCATCATAGATCTAGCAATTGTTTCACCGGGATGTCCCGGTTTAATGCTGAAACTGGGTTATACTGTTATACTTAAAGTATATGCCACAGCAGTTATGACCCGTGTGGTCAGATATCGGACTCGCGGGGAAGTGGTTGTGATTAAGACACGCTTGTATATTTAAACTATTAAGTACATTTATTATGCATTTAGAGCTTGTCGGATTGGTGAAAGTTTCCTCAGGGTGAATGAATCAAGCGCACTCCTTGCTTGTACTCCATTTCCTTTTCTTGGTCTCCAGCAGTATAATGGAGTGTGGTCCATTGCGCTTGAAACTGTGTAGCAGAGGCAGCCACGTTGGTGCAATACTTCCGCCCCATTTAAAGGAGAAAAGCTGCCACATGGATCCAAAATGGCGCTTGTTTCGCGGTGGTCGAAATGGTATACGCCCAACGAATTAGAGCCAATCAGAATACTCGTTTTATCCCCAAGCATTTCCGTCCCGAATGTCCACACGTCGAACCCAAAGGCCGCTCAAAAAGCGTTCGAATGGGTTGGCGAAGAGGATTAACCGAAACTAAATATGATATTGTGATGCTATACTTTGTGCCGAGCAAGTTTACCGCTGTGCAGAAGGACTGATCAACGTACCGTGTTTGTGGTGGAGATGAAATAGCGACGCTGCACACACATTTTCGTGGATATTTTAACCATTTTTCTTGGACGTGTGTTTGTTTGTTCGCTCACTCGCAACAAGCTAGCGCTAGCCTCGACTCCCGTAGCTGCGATGGTCGTCGCCAGTTAATGCGGATGTGCGGGGGCCAGAATATGCTGACCCGACGACGACAAATGGGACCATTTATTGTCGACCTAAACCACCGAGGCATTGACTATAATATTTTTTAAAAACGTTTTCTATTTAATTTCGTGGAATTAAAGCTGAGGTAAGTACAGATTTGCATGTGTATTTTCAACGCTAATGCGTTAATAACAACAAACCAGTTATGCCAGCCTTGATTCCCTGTTGGGTTTTTGTCGTGTGTGTTCTAAGGGGGTTAGGGGGCGTTGTTATACATTTTGTTTTTGGGTGTTCTATTTATGTTAATTAGCGTAATGTTGTCCCACACTGTTGGTTTTAAGCAACGTTCAAATAAACTTTGTTTATCTTCTCTATATTACCATTATATTATGCACTTAATCTCTATCACGAAAACATCACTTATTCCATTGTGGAGGTCTCCAGTTTTGTATATTTAAGTTATAGATATTTATTAAAAGCATTATGAACGAAGGTAGGGGAAAAAAAAACTATATAAAGAATTATCCTTGTTTTGTCCACTGTCTGATATCGAAGCGACATCCCTAGATACAGGTCTAGCCTATTATGTATTGAATTTCACCACTTGGAATTGATTCAGTCAAATTTAATTAAATCTTTAATCCACTAGTTTCCAATATTATTACAACCTATCATAGTAGAGTTTGTTTGGTTCATTTGCTGATTTTGCCACCTGAAAGCAAGAATGGGTCAGTTCTGTTTAATTAACTAGATTTCCAGTGCTTTGAATAGTCCACTTTATGTTGTGTGAGTGTTTTTAAAACGTTAAAACCACAATTTTCTATATGCTGTTCAGGTGACTACATGAATATAGAATCAGTCGTTATTTTTACCTGTGATAACTAAAGTTGTTTGGTTCAGTGTAGTGCTAGTGTATATCAAAATAAAATAGGAGGTGTGCCACAGTTTGCTTGCATTTGAGATCAGCTGTGAAAGGAAACAGGATGTGGATGAAGACTATACCACTTTGGTGCAGTACCAATGCTGAGGAAAACACTGCAGTGCTGCTGGTGGTGTTTTCCACCAAGATAGTGTTTTATTTTGGGGCGTTCATGTTGACTACACTGCAGAGGCAGTGATGCGTAGCACTGTGTCCCCTGAGTTTGCATAGCCATGTTATATAAAACAAAATTTGATGATATACATATAATTATAAAAAGTAATATTTCTCTTATGCCAGGCTAATGATGTTTGGGTTTGTATATACTATTTTGCTAAAATATAGATGACTGTTTCTCTTTTAAGTTTTACTTTCACATATACTGAAAGTGATGCCTGTTGTTTTGTTGTTTTAACAGCTGTTTAAAGTTATTTGGATATTTGTTGGATTTGCAGATTTCTTTAGGATTTCTTTTTTTATTTTAGGAAAGAATGAAATATAACACAGTGTAGCCAATTTTATTTATTGTTATATACTCATGAGAAGATACTTGATAACCTGCAGAAAATTAACCTGAACATTACTTTAGGAGCTGGTCTTCTTTATAGGGGTTGCTAAGTTGAATCAACACATGTTTGCATTAACCCACAATTCACAAAGTAAACAGATTTTTGTTTTTGCGACAAACAAAACAATTGTATCTAAGTTTTAGACTTGCTACCATATATTTCTCAAAAGACGTGTTGGTTAAATATAACAACAATCTATGTAACAAGAAATGACACCGGCAGATTGTCATGTTTGTGTAATTTAGAAAATTTGGATTGATTACTGAGTTAAAATGTCCAAATGAATGTCAACAGTTTAATCAGTGAAGCAAGAATTACAAAAAGGTCTCACCTCCACACCTTAGTTATTAACTAAACTGCAACACATACTTATCTTTTAATGCTTTTTGGAGTACACTCTCAAACCAACACAATGTCAGTTTTTCAAACCAGATGTTTAAAGATGGACATTTTTCTGTTTTTCTATTAGGGTGGAATTTTTTAAACATACATAAAAAAGATCTTGTAGTCTGTATTGGTTGCAGCACAATGCACACTTTTGTTAATAAACACCTTGGGCTGGGTATTGATCAAAAGTTACTGGTACCAATACCAAATTCTATATTTCGTGACGGTTCCTATACGATACGTTTTTTATAGCAATGTTAAAAAATATCCTCCTAAGAGCCCATTTAACAGGGGGAAAATAGATGTATACAGTTAAAGGGTGTTGATGATGTCTGCACACAGAGATACCTGGTTGCCAAAAATATATGAATTGCCGCTTTGCACAGTCTATAAATCAAGACATTTGTGAGGGCTTATAGTTCACGAAGCAGCCACTGCAGTTGTATGCAAGCGTCTTTCTGTGTGTGCCCTGCTCAAAAAACATATCGTTTTGCCATTGCTGCTGCCGATATTCTGCTCTATCATGTTTCTAAGTGATAGAAGCTCACAGTAATGTCTATATTGTGTTAATCAGAAGAGTGACTATTTTGAAAAATGTACACAAGCAGACGTTGCTGTCAGATTCACTCGCGCTGTTTTAACCACGTATAAACAACAGTCACTGACGTATGTATCAGGCAACCTGGCTTCAGCTCGCTTCACAACTACAGTTCCCAACATGGATACATTTGAACCTAGTCTGTGGTGGAATTTTTTTACCATGCATCGTGGAAGTAGCCATGTGTGAAATGTTCTAATGGTGCACTCACGCTAGAGTCATCAGACCGTGCCCAAGCACGTTTGCCCCCAAAAGTCTGGGTTCTGGGGTTAGTGTGAGTGCCTGGTATAGGACAGTTAGAAGAGGAGGTACAGTAGTACTTGGTCACACGTGTCAAATGAGGTTAAGTACGTCTCCTGTTGCTGTTGAAAAAATCTTTGTATTTGTGTAGCAAGATCGACTGCAAATCAAAGCCTCCAGAGTTAGCAAATCCAGACTTTGGCGAGGCCTGACTATTTTGAAGATAGTTTACCAAATCATTGCAGTCATTTTGTTTGATTCACCCTTGATCGCGTTGCTTTAACCATGTATAAACAACAGTCACTGACATAGTGTCAGAGGCAACCAGGCTTCAGCACGCTTGCCTTTGGGATAATGTGAGTGCCTGCCAACTGAGAACAGCAGATGGGTGCATTTGGGTTACAGCACATTATGGAACAACTGGCCTTAGTGTAAGTTCACCCTAAAATGTGGTCAGCAGAGACCGATTGACACCATTTTTGTAGTGTTACATGGTCTGATTTCACGTTCAGCTAAAATGCAAATCTGAGTCTGCTGTTATTAAGACCTGGACAGTCTACTGGACAGTAGATCAGGACACAAATGGGAAGCGAAAGGAATGTGGTATTCCGTACTAAAAGCATGATATTTGGTCAATTGGATTTTATTAAATACATGATTTGTCTATCACATGTGCAATTATGATTCACATAACTGGTCTTTTCTTTAAAAATCAATTTCAATTTGTATCCAAAAGGGCATCTGGTGGAAAACCTGCCAAATCACTGTGCAAACTACTGCTATGGTGGCCCCTGATTAAGTGAAAAGCTGAAAGTAGAAACCATCAATACAGATTTGGATTAAGTTTCTGATGTTAAAATGTGTCACTTCTTCTGTTGCTTTATATGCAAAGTTTATCCCCTTACAATGCGTCTAATGTTGCTACACTATCCTTCTGTTAAGTGATCTCACTGTGGGATATACAGACCTTTTTACACCTGAAGTTTTCTAAGGAAAACTTATCTTCATTAGTGACTTTGTGTTTTTGTTTTTTTTGTTAATTTATTGTAATAAAATATAATAGAATAACTTATAGCTGTAACAACAGAATAATGCAACGTCACGTCGCCATTTGAAGGTTTACTCCAACAGAGGGAATGTTAAAAGCTCTTTTTAACAATTGTGTTAATGAGAGCTCTGTGACAGAAAATATTTAGTCAATTTAACCGCGTTGTCATTGATGTTTTTTTAACGTTCTTTTGAATAAGGAAAGGAAGGAAAGTGAACTACTTGTCATTGTGGCACAGCGTACAATGAAATGTGACCTCTGTTTTTAACCCATCACCAAAGTGAACAGTAGGCAGCTTTAACAGCCCAGGGAGCAGTGTCAGAGCACCTCAGTGGCAATCGAACCTGGAACCTTTGGACCCAAGTTTGCTTCCACTTAGCCACCACTGCCCTATCAGCTGTATCTTGAGAATGTAATTAGTCACGCGTTTTTTTTTTTGTGAACTACCTATGGTTAAAACTCCCGTCTAACTTGTTTAGCGTGCAGCACCCATTGGCTTGGAAAGGGTTATGTTAGTATGAGGTGACAACTGATACTATTTAAGCTGTTCGAGTTTGGTTTCCTGTTTGATTTGAGAATGCACCCAAATAGAACTTAGTGATTTAGTTTGTTAAATTTCTGAGTTGTTCGAAGAAAACAATGGGTAACCAGGTCTCAGTGTCCTTTGTGAGATTATGTTCTGTGAATTGCAAGGGGAATAAGGTTTACACTCATGCTAAGAGAAACTTTGATTGGCTACTGCTGGGTGAATTTACTAGCTTGTTTTTAGAGTGTAGAGAAGCTGCGTTCTGTGACTTGAACAGCCACTGTGCCTGTTTGCCGTGTATTCAACATCACCCCTCCCCCTTCTGCTGAAAGTGTGGTTCGGTTTAGGTAAACAAGCATGGCTGCGTGTGTTTCTTGCTTTTCTGTGTCTCTGCCATGTCTTCTCTGTATCAGTTTCCACTCACAGTATCTTCTCTGCGTTCAGCATATGTTCGTCTTTTTCACGAGCACAATGTCATCATAAGCCCAAATGGTTTCTGAAGCCCTTTATCATTCAGCCTAGTCCTTTGCCCCTTCCTCTATCTTTGAAATGAAATGGAACAAAATGGCGGTTTGAGTCCTGTGGTTTCCCAAAGGTTTGAAGAACCGCATTTGGGGGTTTAAATGGTCCTGATGGATTAAAGGGGTCTTTATATCATGTTCATTTGTGGTAAAGTGAACATGTGAATTATATTTCCCTTTTCCCCAGCTTTTGCTTATCAAAGATAGAGTTTCTGCTTACACATGCAGCCCATCCAGCAGCATTGTGCATTTTACAGACTTCACTTTTGGTTTTGCTTTTTTTTGCACCAGTCCATACAGCTCAATTGAGATGTACTTTGTGTTGTTTTTTGTTGTT